GAATTTACTTTTTGCGCTCTCTATTAAAAGAGCTGTCGCTTCACCTCGTGAGGAGGGTTAATAAATTTCCACTTGATTTCAATAGTCATTAGAGGGACAAAAGCTTGCAAACTCTTGAATTCGTGCGCGCAATAAGATTAGTGCGAGATAAGATACGTGTGAGGAAACATTGAATGCATTACCTGTTAACACTAGGAACACTGAATAATCACCATGGGAGTTCACAAAACAAAACCGTCCAAAGCCTATATGCAGCACTAAATAAAACACTAAGAATGAATTTGGAATGCACGCGTCGCTCTAATTTTAGCCCGTTGCGTAAGAAACGTGTGTACTCTATCGCGGAAATCGACGTTCCAAAAGAAATTTTCAAAATATCCCAAGAGTTGCGAAAAAGCACTGCACGCAGCTCACCCGACTAAGCTCCCGCATCAACTGCCGTTTTCAAACGAGTTTTGAAACTTCCTACTTGGAAAGCTCCGATGGGCGGTTCGATCTGGGTGGGTTACCAAGGCGGCTGGGCGTGGTCGCCCATTGACGACGACGAATGGGAGCGTCGTTTTTGAATTAATGTTGTTCATGCATTTGTTACTCGAGGTGCTAATTTTCTATTATCTGCTTCTTCTAATGCCTTGGCTGCGGTAATATCCTGAGGCGAGGTGTAAACAAGCTGCAGAGGAAGGCGCTTGTTGATTGGTACCAACCACGTTTTTCTGTCTAAAAAATTATTAGCATTTGCTAATGAAATGTTCTTGCGCTGTTCAACAACTCGCATCATGGAGGCGTTCATCAGCATGCTGATGAACATACACCAGCGTTCAGGGTAGATCCATTAAACATGTTAATGTTGATAGTTCTCACACCAAATCATCGGATACTGAATATTCATTGATTGAACACACGGAATGCAGAATCGTTACCTGTTTTTAATGGTCCTGATAGATTTACTCAAGGGGCATTGTTTGCGTTGCTATATATTCGTTGATTATTTTGGAGTGAGCCAAACGTTACTCCAGAAAAGGCATTCTTAAGTCTGCAGATTCGGTCAAATCCCACGAATTAAGATTCAAAATCCCTTTAAGACAATGCGAAAGCTGTACGTTTTCTCCAGTAAAGTTGCCACTCTGCCAAAAGAAGAATAAGAAATTCTTCAACTTCAACTTCAACAACAAGCATACATTCAAATAAGCAAAGAGCTGAATTAAATACCTATTTAAAAATAAAAAATTTTAACGACGTACCTAAATGAGCGATTGTTGTGTTTCCAATCAACAAAAGCCTAAAGTTTAAGCAATTTTATTATACATTATATTTCCTGTAGTTAAGGATATTTATGTTCCCAATGACGATTTATTTTTATATACTTTAAAAGTTACGATTCAATCAAACAAGGCGCGATCTTTTTTCTTGGGCTTCCCCCATATTTTGATATGTGTTAACCTTAACTGACTTAATTATTTAATTTTATTAACTGGAATTTTCTACTCGCGTTCAATTTGATGATTTTTTTGCAGTTTCAAGTCGTTTGTTTGTTTGTCTACCACAAAGTTACCAATGAAAAAGTTGTGTAAATTTTTTGCTTACTCATCTAATGATGTTTTTTGTTGTTTTAAATAAACGTTTAAAATTCACAAGACTAAACAGGGAAAGTGTCTAAAAAAATTAAATATATACCTATTTTAAAATTAACAAATAATTTTTGCATAGCTATGGTAAAGTTTCAACAAACGCCCACCCTGGATATTGTATATGTTCGCAATTGTTTGGGGTTTGGATTTAATTGGTCTTGAAAACTAATCAGGGCTGAAATTTGAACTTATGAAAACAGTTGAAAATATTCTCGATAAATCAAGTGAATTTTCAAAATTAAACATTTTTTGTTTTCTGTGAAAGTTGGTTAAAAACAGAGTATTTAGACACCTTAAAATATGAGAAATTCTGTAAATTCATCTATAAGTGCTAGAAGTGAAAATTAGATTTCGTGACGCTGAAGTATTTAAAATTTAAAATATTTTTTTATTGAGCAGACATGCTGACTGTTCTCGTTTTGATCCCTTTCGTGGCGGTTTTCGTGCATTAAATGCATAAGTAAAGCGTTTAAAACCGAACAGAAACCGATTTACCAGTTTAAAAACTGTCTGAGACTGTTTCTAATCTCTGAATAAGAAAACTTTCGCATTTGATAAGGTTCAGAGGACGATGATGAGGTTAGAAGCAAGTTATTAAACTTGATTTGAGTACCTACTTATATAATTTTTAGATTGAAAAGTATCGCATATTACTTTACAATTTTGGAAATGACTCTAATACTCATAAACGCTGAACTGATTTTAAATATCTTAAGCAAAATACTCAGTTTAAAGAAGAAATTTGCATAGTTGGAACCGAAAAAATTGAAACATCCTTTAGAGAAATAAGTTATTAATGAGAAACAAAATAAAAACGTAATTGCAGGAGGGGAATTTGTTGCAATAATAACAGATTC